TGGGAATGGTATGGACATGCTCAGAGATATCTTGACACTGGCATAATCACAAACCAGTCATGAGAAACATAAACACTTAGAGAGGAATAGGGATTTAGGATTCACAAAATGGTAAGTGCACAGTAGGTAAAGGAAAACAATTGTCTAGACATGCTTGAATCACACAAGGGAATACATGAGCTTAAAGGGATGGGAGTTATACTAGCATGTGTAGCTACAAACTCCACATAAAAACCATAAGTAAAAGCAGGCTAGAAATAAAAGAAACTAAAATAAGAAACGAAACATGTTGTTCTTGTGGCTGTAAATTAAACTAGGACATACCAGTGAAGATAGAAGTAAGAGAATGAAAGAACCAAAGAGCACAGATGATTAGCCTTGGCTTGCAGTCGGCTAATAGTAATAGAATAACACAGAGATTTTAAATAAGAGAGGGGTTTTTTGGAAGCCAAGTGTGTGTCGTTTGTGAAAGACTTAGGGTATTAATAGTTGAAAGTAGGTAGTGGAATAAGGTAAAAAAACATTGCAGTATACTAATTTAAGAACTCAGAATCAATCACTTAGAGAATCAAGGAAGTACTTCCTTGAGTTAGGGGAATCAAGGTCCAACGGAAGATTAAGTACCATATAAGGGGGAAAGGGGAATCAGTGCATAATTAAACAAGGAAAGGAGCCGGAGTCCATTAGGCATAAAGTAGTCGATTAGGACCAAATTCAGAAAGACCCAATTAAGGAAAGACTAAGTAAAACCAAGTATCATAGTAAATAAGGTAATAAAATCAGTGAATTCAAACAGATGAGTAGAATTCTAGGGTCTTGAAGGAAAATCTTTCAATTACCAACAGTTAAGGAAAATTAGAATCAATCATGAGAGGTCATGATTCTGCGTGTTTCAACATATAAATAGAGACGAATGAATAGAAGTAGCAAACAAAACAAGGTCAATTATATAGGCAGAAAGAAATAAGAGATGAGCAAGCACAGTTATATAGAGGTGATGTAAGTATGCTAGAGATTCAGCAGTACATATTCGAAGCATGGTGACCACGAGAAATTAACAAGACCAAGGCAAAGAAAGTTATGCTAATACACAGAGCCTAGGCGAAGAGAATCATGCTAACACACGAAACCAAAGTGAAGAAAATCATGCCCACACACAGAAACAGAGTAAGAAAATCATGCGAACATACAGAAACAAGTAAAGAAAATCAGGCTAACACACAGAAACAAGTAAAGAAAATCATGCTAACTCACAAAAACAAGTAAAGAAAATCTTTTAAAAATTAGGCATACAGAAACAAGTAAAGAAAATCATGCTAACTCACAAAAACAAGTAAAGAAAATCTTTTAAAAATTAGGCATACAGAAACAAGTAAAGAAAATCATGCTAACTCACAAAAACAAGTAAAGAAAATCTTTTAAAAATTAGGGCTTTTAACAGACTTGAGTTAAAAAGCAGTAGGAACATAGAATCAGTCAAGATAAATGAGGGAAAAAGGTTTAATCATAAAGAAATCAGTTGAAACTGGTATAGAAAGAACTCCGAGAAAACCTAGTTTTCAAAGAAAGTAAGAACAGTTTAGACTTAGAGGATTTTTCAGAAGAAAGCTCGAAAATAAGAAAATCATAAAAGAAAACAGGTTTAAAGTATGAAAATAACACAGATCTGAGAGATCTAGAAGAGAATTAGGGTTTCAAAAGGAAACCTAGGTAGAAATCGAAAGAACCTGTTGTAACTTCATAAATCATAACACACATGGTGTGATTTTGCCCAAAATCACACTAGAGAAGCCTCGAACAACAGAATCAGGAACCCTAGGTCCGAATCGGCATGGCCCAGGACCATTGAATGCCTTAGAGATGATGACCAAGGTGATGAGAGTGACCATTGGAGGCTTGGGGTTTGAGAGATAGTCGCCGGAGATGACTGGAGAAGGATGTGAGTGGAGGAGTCTAGGGTTAGGTTTAAGAAAAGAGTGGAGATGAGAGAGCATCTCATGAAGGCGACGCCTTTGGAAAAGTGACTTAGGGTTAGGGGTCGTTTGAAAATTAAAAAGAAAAGGGATTATTTGGACCGTTGATCTCCCAGATCAACGGTCAGGATTAAAATGGGTAGGTGGGTTCGAATTTGGGTAAGGATTAATAGGGTATGAGTCGGGTGATTTGGGTGTGAAATTGGGCTGGAAAGGGGTCCAATTTTGGCTATAATTGAAAGCCAAATTTGGCTGTTATTTAAACATCCAATTTTCCCCTATTTAATTTATAAAAAATAGTAGGTAATTTCTGAAAAATAAATTAAGGTACCAAAATGATTTAAAATATATAATTAATAATTTAAAAATATAGGATCCAATTTTATGCATATAAACATAATTATATCTAAAAATGGACTAACATTGCAATTATATGCAATTTAGCTTTTAAAAATACTAAATGTAATTGTGAAAACACATAAAAATTACATTAGTCATATTTTGGTATAAATATAGAAATCCAATAAATGAATTATCAAAACAATAATTTCGGAAATAATTATTGGGATTTTATGGATAAAAAGAGGAGAAAATAAATCAATTTAAACCCTTAAAATTATGAAAAAAATAATAAAAACCTTGGGCATGCCTATATATGCATATATATATATATATGCTATTTTGAAGGCTTTTATGCGTATTCAAAACATAGAGGGAAAAATTGGGTATCGATAGTCGTGGTTACTAAAAATAGTTGTCTCAAATTATTTGTCATTTTAAAAGTTTAACATAAAATTGATTATATTTTTTCTTTTTTAGCCTTAGTAATAATTATCCTAGAAGACTACAAACACCTTAGTTATGGATAATTTTAATCAAAAACTAAGAAGTCAAGCTTGTTATCTTAAACACTTTAATCATGTTTACACTAATGCAATTAATACTGTAAATACCGAATTTTTTTTTAAAGTCTATTCAAACCAAAATGCTGCTAAAGTACATGATAATGAAAGAATATATAAAGAAAATAGAGAAGGAAGTGAAGCATTCTTTTTTATAGGAAATTTTAGGTGGAGAATGTTAAATTTTCAAATGGGACTAAAGAAACTTTCAGATTGAATTTTTTGGCTCCAGAATAATTTTAGTTGGAAAATTTTCAAATCACACGTTTGAAAATATTTTGAAGGAAAGATGAATTCTATTTCATGCAATATTTGTTGGAAGAGTTAATTTTACTGATTTGTTAGTTTTATCCTGGATGTCTCTTCATATATTATATAAAGCAAATTAATTGCATTCACATTTAGTAAAAATATGAATAATGTCATTAATGGAGATGACACATAAATTGAGAAAATATTTAATGAGAAAAGATTAAATATTAAGACATGAATAGGATAAAGTAATCAAAATCACATCCCAAAAGGCATGCACAAAAGAATCTAATTGAGGTATTTGTAGCCTTCAAGAACAAATACTAATTTAAGATATCTATTTTTTAATTAAGTTGTCTTGAACTTATAAAATAACAAATAATTTAAGATATTTATTTTTTAAAATCACAACAAATAATTTGAGAGGGAAGAAACTAATTAATCCTATTGATTTTCAGACTATCAAACACTTACACTACCAATTTGTTTGCAGTAAATCATGACAATAAAATGAACTGAAAACAGTACTTGATAGAGTAAAGGACTACTGAGGACATGCGGCTTTCAAATGTGCTCCACAAACCTCTGCTCTTGTGGAGATAGGACAAGGTAAACTTGCATTTTTTCTTCTTCAATTTGTACTATTCGTCTTACCAAATGTTAGAAAGGAAAAAAAATTACTATATGATTGACAACAAGGACACGTTGGGCTACCAAGGACTTAATATGGGGTATTAACACGTTTAATCCGTGCCGGAAACTATTTATATTTGACAATCAAAAAAGTGTATATAATTTGTATAATTTTTGTATTTGATATATAAAATGTATATATATGTATATATATATAAAATATATAAATTTTATATATTTTTCGACTATTATTTTTACGACGGCTATAAAGTATCATTTTTTCCATAATAATATTCATGCAAAGATCAAATTGTCCTCACAGAACGACAAAAACTCCTAGATTGACAAGTGCTGCTATTGAGAATACACGTGTTGGGCAAAGAGATTCAGATCACATTTTATTTTTATTAAAAGAGAGGTCAACTATGCTGTACAAATACAACGTGTTGGGCCGTGTTCGTCCTCCCCTTTCGTACACCCAACTCCCATTTCTAATATATACGAGAGAAATTCAAAAATAGTCAGATTTATAACTGGTCGTTCAAAAATAGCTAGTTTCAAAAATAATTGAAATTTAGTCATTTTTCATGTAAAGATAAATCTGAACAAAAATACTGTTCAAAACCCGGAAAATACGCCAGTAAATTATACTGAAGTGCCAGCATAAGTATGCTTGAACTCCAACATATTATACTGGAGTTCTAGGATAAGTATATTGGAACTCAAGCATAATATAATGGAGTTCCAGGATAAGTACACTAGAACTCCAGCATAATATACTGGAGTTCCAGCAAGTATATTTGTCCAGTATAATATACTGGAGTTTGGAGCACTGGTGCTCCAGTCTCCAAAGTATACCGGAGTCAACAAAGTATACCGGTCCAGCATAATATGCTGGAGTTCATACACAGGTGCACCGAACTCCAGTATATTATGCTGGACCGATCTCTGTTGCAACAAAATAATGACTATTTTTTATTGACTTCGTAAACGCTGGCTATTTTTGAATGACCAATCCGAAAATTTACTATACCGTGCTATTTTTACAATATATACTAGCAAGGGAAGCCCGTGCTACGTACGGGCCCAACATGATTAGCGTGGGTTTTTAGGTTAGTTGAAGTCTTTTAGAACAATAAATATTGTAGACAGTATCAACATCTGAGAAAAGGTCTATCAGAATAAAGTAGAAAAAAGTTATGCACAACACTAAAGACGTCAAAATTGTCACTATATTGCAGGCTAATATACAAAGGTATTCTGTGTGCCATCACCTTAGCTATAAATAACCAAATTTGTGAGTTTGAAAACTAAATACACCTTCTAAAGCTGATGCAAGTCCCAATTTTGTCGATATGCAACTATCAATTTGAAATCTCAAGTGCATGATATGGAAACCTTTGAGGATGAAAAGAGTTAAAACTTTATCTTCCATGATGGAGTAACCTGGTGCAATAAAAATTAGAAGGTTTCAAAGGCAACTTCAAACACCAATAGTTATGAAGTTTACTGCTTGGAAAAGTATGGAAGATAGTAGAAGCACAAAAGAGTTGAGCTCTGAAATATATAGCTCAGACTAAAAAGAGACAAACATGTAACATTTAAATCACTTTGTAACCTTTCAAAATAAATTTGGACAGAGAGATGCCAATATCTTATTAGTTGAAAGGGGCAATAATTAGTCACAGAAGCTTCAGATTTCATCACTGTCCTTGTAGCTGAAGCTATTGTGTTTCACAACTTGAAAAACATGAATAGCAGTGTAATCATAATCTCAAAGTAACCCAGCCTTGTAATATAGCATTTTCTATCAAAAGCCTGTAGAAGAAACACAAGTCCAGGAACAACGATTACATGCTCAAGTTTCTCTTAAATTTTTTTTTATGTTACTGTTGAATCATCAGTTTAGCAAGGTAAAAATGACTGCCTATTATAGTTTATAGCTAATATGTTATAAACACGTGATGGAAGGTATTCAAATTTGGGAACAGGGATAGCAAGAAACAAATAGAATGAAATCCGAGGCAACTTATGTTGGCCTTGGCAAAGACATTCTGAAGCCAAATATTGTGGATCTCTCGGTAACATTTTTCTTGTTCACGGGATAATGGAAATGTATTGATGAGATGATTATAAAAAATTAAGCTCATATTCAAGAGCTGAAATATCAATCCCGTGTTCACATATATGCTCTTTCCTCTATTTCCTACATTTTTTCACAACTCCATGGAAACCTAGTAAGATTATATTAAATGCACTCATGTAAAATATTTTAGTAGGATTAAAGGTGGATAGATTATAGTATTTGATGATATAGAAACACCAAAGTCCAGGTGAATGAAAGACAGATTAAAGGTAAAATTTAGACTACCATGGGGCATGGAAAACCACCTACCATATTCAATTGTGTCTTTTTATTTATAGGGAACACGAAGCTAACCTAGAATTTGAGGGTAGAACTTTCTATTACCAAAGACACCAACAACATGGAAACAAGATGATCTCACACAACCGCTTTCACTTTGTGATTCTTTTCTAAAGTTACTCTTGAAATGCAATTTAAGAACATTTACACATAACCTCAAAAAACAAATTTTTACCTTTTCTTTCCTTCATTTATTTTTTCCAACAGTTGAAATATTTTCAAGAATGGAGTAATAGGCTGAATAGAATACTTATCAAGGAATTATATGCTTAAGGATTCAGGGCTTGTCAAAAAGTTGAATGTCTTTTCCTTTTCTTGTTTTTCCTAACACTCTAAATAGAAGTAACAAACAAAGTTATCACAATAATTTCTTCTCGTCCCACAGAAAAGCACTCAGTTATCCAAAATATTTCATCTCCACAATTACCTTTTTATTTCTTTGTTCAATCACTAAGCCCATTACTACTGCTTAAAGGACCTAAGTTCTCTGTGATAATTTTTGAAAGAACTCAATATCTCTCTAAATTATAGAAAGTTAGCTTTTAAAAGCCCTCTTCTATTTCATTGCTCTTTGAGTTCAAAAAAATAACACAATAACTGTTATATATCTAGTACTTGTTAAAAGAAATTGTTACATAAGCAGCAAGACAGACAAAGTGATGATCATTGTTACAAACGAATAGATGAATGTTCAATTTAAACAAACAGAACTACATACCTTATAATAGTGGAGCAGTTGTGACTTTGTAGGTTAGATGCAAGGTACCCAACGTACCTTTTTGATGTAAGAATTATCTCTCAAGTGGTATAAAAACCGAACAGAAGCATAAAAGTAATGGCAGATTCAATGACAAAGCTCCATATTCTCCCCTCGATCAAGAACCAGTGCATGGCCATAATTCACATTAACCAGCCACATACAGTTTCTTTGTGTCTTTCCAGTCTCAAAAGCAAGAAGTCAAGTCTTTTCAAGGAGTATAATCCAAAAAGGAGGTTAGTATAGTCTACCTTCTCAATGTTTTCCATCATGGCACCTTTAACTTTTGAAACCTGAGCCTTCACCTAGGCAAGCTTACTAACTTCCTTTAGATGATCCGCAATATTGCATTTGCTCCTTAAGTTTGTGTTTGTATGTTATTGTTATGGTGAAGACAGTTCTCACTCGCAACAGCCTCAATCATAGAGGAGGAAGTAGAGAATAACAAAGGAAATTTACATTCCAAATTTCCTGTTCGAGCTGCTAGCAAGAGTTGTTGCAGCTTTGCCTCGTCCACATTTATTGGCATCCTTACTTATCTCTGGCAATACAATTAGTATCTGTTTGCCAAGAGATTTAATGTCAACAACGAAGTCCATCAGAATGACAAATTACGGAGAACAATTGTTGTTCATTCTCTATCATGCATTTCTTGGTCATATCTATTCAGTAATATCAGTAAGAAATTGTCTCAATCTAAAAAGTGAGGGTCAACTTTTCACCAATGTTAATTTGACATCAAACACCTATAATAAATTATTAATAATCACACTTAAAGGAGAAGCAAGGGAAAAAGACATATGATCACACTGGAAATCAAGACAAACCTGGGATGGGTTGAGTTTGGCAAAAAAATCAGAATTTTCACACTTCAGTATTTTTCTAAGCCGGATTAATTTCACAATAATTAGTTTGCACCAAAAAAGAAAATCAATAAAAAAAATATTAAGATATAGTTATCAAAATCATATACTGCGGTATATATGTTTAGACATGCATATGCAGATCAGATAAAATTAAGTGAAATACATGTGCAGTTATAGGTTGTACCTAAAGTAGCGTCAATTGTACAATTCACTTGGGCCCATTTCACTGGTCGAATTTATATGCTGTACTTGGAAAAATCTTATTGGCCATTAAATTTCTTAGTCATTCGCCTTTGACCACCTGTAATTGACTTCTCCACGTTTACACATTTATCAATTTTGTTTCCTTCATTTGCCATACCATCGGTTTCTTCCATTTGATTTTTATGTTTTTCATTGGCCACCAAATCTCCTTTTCATTTGACATATGCCTTCTTTTCACTTTCCACGGTGTTGCTTTCCTTCTTCATCTTAGTGGAAACACTGCATCAAAAATAACTTAATTTCACATTGTTTATGAAACTTTATTTAAAAGAAATGCCTAGCTAACGTATGCAGTATTCTATTAACCGTTGGTCACTTCACCTTAAGTCTCTTTTGTCTTGAAGGCTGAACATCCAACAGATAACATATCCCTATTGTCAGTAATATATTTTTTATATTAAAAGAAATTGCCAACTTGTTATCTAGCTGGTTAGAATTTTAGGATGGTTAAAGTATATATTCATTTTAGTAAATTACCAAACTATTAAATCAATACCTTTCTATTAAAAAGGAGGAGGAGAATGCATAAAGCTAAAACATATTTTAAAAAAAGAAAAGGTAATTTTTTTTCTTATGTGCAGCAGTAAGCGCAATTGACACTGGCCATGGAAAGAAATCCAATTTACCTTGCAAACATATAGTCAAACAGGTTAGGTGCATAATCCACCTCAAAATTCCTGTTATTCTGCACTAATTGTAAGTAACAATGACAAAATTCATCAAAAAGACATAACACATGTGCAAATCAGACACAATCACTGACATGCATGTAAAAATTCTAGCAATACGTTATTGAAAAAGAATAAGAGTAACCTATACACACAAAATTATGATAAAAAGAAAGTACAATAAACAGAAGAACGATTGCACAAACAACTCTGGAATCAGAGAGGCTACACCGGACACAGATAGAGAAATTAACAACTTTTGCAAGAGGGAAGACCCCAAAAAACATGCATTACACTACACTCACACGGCCAAACACGTATATATTAGCATTTCATTTCCATTAGAGAATCCGATTATAAGCATTCTCAAGGCTCTCATGCGATAAACCGCCATCAAGACCCATCAACAGAGAAAAGTTATACTTTGAAAATTAAGAGACTTACCTTTTATATTTTTCTTTGATGTTGGTGGTGTCAAGTTTCAGACTCTTACTTAAAGATTCAGTTTTCGCTACTGCGATATTCCATTTCCTGTTCAACCATAAACGGAGGCTTACCAAGAAAAAGACAACAAATACAGAAAAATCCAATTTCAATTAAAAATAAGTTGAAAATCAATTAGAAATCCAACATCTGTTAAAATAGAAAGAGAATAAGAAGAAACATTGCAACATAGTAATTGATCTAAACGGATGAAATCCTTTTTTATTTTACATGCAAAAATAAAAATAAAAAATGATCGACTTTGTTTTTAACGTTGATTTGGAGGGTTCGGTCATGTATGGCCAAAGCAAAGATCCATTACAGTAAAAGAACACTAACAACCCTCATGCAAATGTACCACAATCATGGAGTGCTGTACAGTCCTAGCGTAAGAAGGAATAAATATAGGCGAAAGGAGCTTACCAAGGTGCGATTCCGCAAGCGCATACAAATTTTGTCAGAAATCAGTCAATGGAACAGTAATTAAGCTTCTACCATTATCTGAAGCTGTGTGAAGCTGTGGATTGTCCACCATGAGAACCCAGAGAGAGAAGAGAGAGGACGAGAGAAGGTTCCAGAATTGTGCAATTAGACTGATTAAATTGAAAGAGTGAGTGGAGTCTCCACTATATACAAAGCTAAGACTAAGCACTAAGCTAAGACAATTAACTAACAACTGCTAAGCTAACTGTACAGTTGTCATAATAATCAACTAACTAAGGGACTAATCAACTAACTAAGAGAATAATTATAGTTCTTAACACCCCCTCAAGTTGGAGGTGTAGCAAACACTGACAACTTGCCCAATGCAGCACTATGCTTGATCCCTGTAAAGGGCTTAGTCAAAACATCTGCAAGTTGGTCATCGGTTCTGATATGCTGAAGAGAGATCAGGCCTGCTTGGAGTTGATCACGTACAAAGTGGCATTCGACCTCTATATGCTTGGTTCTTTTGTGAAATACTGGATTCCTGGCAATGTGTAATGCAGACTGACTATCACAGTAAACTGAAATAGGTAGAGAAAAGGGGACAGTCAGTTCTTCAAATAACATGCGTAGCCACACTAATTCACCTACAACTTTTCTCAAGGCTCGATATTCTGGTTCTGCAGAAGACAGTGAGATGGTCTCTTGTTTCTTGGACTTCCATCTGATGGGGCTGTTGCCTAGCAACGCCAAATAACCACTGATGGACCTCCTAGAATCTAGACAAGCAGCCCAGTCAGAGTCACAATAAGCTCTGACTGTGTGATCTCCATCCTTTGACATAAAGATTCCCAGGGTAGGATCATTCTTCAGGTACCTTAGCAAATGAAATGCTGCTTTCAAATGGGGCTCCCTGGGTTTCTGCATAAACTGACTTAAATGTTGAACACCATATGCTATGTCCAACCTAGTATTGGTCAAGAAATTCAGCTTCCCTACTAACTTCCTATAATAAGTAGAATCCTGCAATACTGCTCCTTCCTTGGCCTTTAGTTTCACATTTGGATCCAATGGTGAAGAGCAGGTCTTGTGTTCCAGGCAATCATACTCCTTTAGCAGGTTCAATGCAAACTTCCTTTGTGATATAATGATCACATCTTCCTTATACATAACCTCTAGTCCCAGGAAATAGTGAAGCTGTCCCAGATCCTTGATCTTGAATTGCTCATGTAGGAACCTCTTAAGTTAAGAATTTCTTGTTCATCAGTCCCAGTTTACAGCACATCATCCACATACACAGCAATATACACTGAGTCACTTCCATTTCTCTTGTAAAAAAGTGAGTAGTCATACATGGAGTGTGTGTATCCTCTTGAATAAAGTGCCTCAGTCAACTTTGCATACCATTGTCTGCTTGCGTGCTTTAACCCATAAAGAGATTTATTCAGTTTGCATACCAGGCCTGGCTTCTCTAACACTAGCCCAGGTGGCACCTGCATATATACCTCCTCATTGAGATCTCCATGCAAGAAGGCATTGTTTACATCCAGCTGTGAGATGAGCCAACTTTTCTTGACTGTTGTAGCTATTAAAGCTCTGACTGTTGTCATCTTTACAACTGGTGAAAAGGTTTCTGTATAATCTATTCCTGCCTGTTGAGTGTACCCTTTAACAACTAATCTGGCCTTGAATCTCTCAATGCTACCATCTGCTTTATGTTTCACTTTGTACACCCATCAACATCCAATTGCTTGCTTCCTAGGTGGCAGCATTACTAAGTCCCATGTATGATTTGAATGTAATGCATCCAATTCCTGTGTCATAGCAGCTTGCCATGCATGATCAATAGCTACCTCCTCATATGATGATGGTTCCCTCTCATGACAAACATTTCTCACAAGAGCCTGACTATCAGGAGTTAGTAGATCAGAGGCAATGTGTTGTTTACAGAAAATAAAGCATTTAGAGAAGTGGAATTATTCTTGAATTGAGGTAAGGAGTGAACATAGTCCTGTAGATATGTAGGGAGTTTATGAGTTCTGTGTGACTGCCTAGTTGGATGGATTTGTTCTGTATCTATTTGTTAAATGTTGTGAGTTCTGTGTGACTGTCTAGTTGGATGGATTTGTTCTGTATTTGTTTGTTCAATGTTGTGTTCTGATGATGTGTTGTGTGGTGAAGGGCTAGATATTCCATGAGATAAAGGACTGGCTGCATGTATAGGTGACATAGAGATAGGTGTGTTATCCACATTTCCTTGGTCACTCAAGTTTTCAGTGGTCTGCATGTTTCCTGTGTTCTTAGGAAGATGCTCATCAAGTGAATCAATGAAAGGAACAGGGTAAAAGACGAGTGAATTGGAAGACTTGTTTATGCTACAGTTAAATGGAAAGATAGATTCATTAAACACCACATCTCTGGAAATGTAAATCTTTATAGTGGCGAGGTTCAGAACTTTGTACCCCTTTGTGTTGAAAGGATACCCAACAAAGACATGAGGGGCAGTCTTGGGATTGAACTTATCCCTATGTGGTATTGGTACAGTGGGATAGCATAGGCAGCCAAAGCTCTTGAGATGAGAGTATTTTGGTTTCCTCTTATACAACAGCTCATATGGGGTTTTATTGTTTATGGAATTGGATGGCAATCTGTTTATTATATATGTAGCACAGAGGACACATTCACCCCAATATCTTAGAGGTAATTTGGATTGGAAAAGGAGGGCTCTAGCTGTTTCAAGAAGGTATTTATGTTTTCTTTCTACCACACCATTTTGTTGTGGTGTATATGGGCAAGTTCTTTGATGAATGATTCCTTTGGATTGAAACAATTTGGTTGCTTCTCCACTGGTAAATTCTAGTCCATTGTCTGATCTTATGGACTTGATGTTGATACCAAACTGGTTTTCCACCAAGGACATGAAGTTTTTAAGAATATCAATAGCATTACTCTTGCTGGACAAAAGATGTGTTCATGTAGATCTGCTATAGTCATCCACTATGGTGATAAAGTACTTGTGTTTATCATGTGTAGAGATATGATATGGACCCTATAGGTCAACATGCAAAAGCTCAAATATTTTGTCAGATACACTGGTTTTCTGAGGAAAAGGTAATCTTTCTTGTCTAGCCATTGGACAAATGGTACAGGTAAAGGGTTGTTTAGGGGAGAAATTAGCAGGAATAGAAGTAATCCTTTTCATCTTCACAAAGGGAATATGTCCAAGCCTGTTATGCCACAGCACATTTACATTATTTTCAGACCAAGATTGAGAGAAGAAACCAGGCAATTCAGAAGATACATCCTCAAAAGGAACATGTTTACTAGCACTTGCACATGAATTATTTACAATGAGAGAGGGAAAGGAGACACACTTATTGGTGTGGACTAATACATTTACAATAGAATGAGTTGGACAGTGTGTATCACAAGTGCAGCAAGTAGAAATGACAGGAAGTCTAGAGTTGTCCTTTTTTGCAAGACTTGCATTGTTTTTCTTTAAGCAACTTGGGCATAAGATGTATAGCCCATCCTTCACCTTACCAATCACCAGAGGCCTCTTCATTGAAGGGGCCTGCAACATACAACAGAGATTGAAGAAGGCAACAATACAACTTAAATGAGAAGCTAAAGAGTGAACAGAGATTAGATTGTATCTGAAAGTTGGAACATACATCACTTTATCTAGAGTGATCTTAGAATTGAGAATTACACTGCCTATTTCTGTCACCTTTACTTTATAGCCATTTGGAAGTATGACTAGCAAGGGATAAGGTAGGTTGATTATATTGGTTAATAGGGATCTGTTGAAGGTCATATTGTTTGATGCCCCTGAATCTATAATCCATGAGTCAGCTTTGTTCTTGAAACATTCACATGAAAGTTTGCAAAAATCAATTGAGGAGGTACAAGCTATCATACCTGCAAAGTTTGTTGTTCCTGAAGTAGCATTGGTACCACCTCCATGATCTCCTATCCCTGATGACTGAAATTGTTGTAGCAGGGTCACCAACTGGTTGTATTCTTCCTTGGTAAGGCTTACATTCTGAGGATTGTCATGACTAACATATTTATCATTCTCTGCAGGTTGAGATTCAGTGGCTGCCACATATGCATTGGCTAGGGTCCTGTTGCCTCTGTTGAGTCTGTTGGCACTATTGTTGTTTGAGTTATAGCTGTAATTATAGTTGGAACCTTGCCTTGTGTTTTGACTGAAACTGTTTTGTCCTGTGTTTGGATTCTGATTGTGACCAAAATTCTGTGGATATCCATGAAGCTTGTAGCATTTCTCTTTAGTGTGTCCTGGCCTCTTGCAGTAGTCACAAAAAGGTCTGTTTCTGTTGTTATGATTGTTGTTGGGAGAGTAATTTGTCCTGAATGTGTTAGGTTTGGTTGTGTTGGCATTCAAAGTTGATGATTCCAGTACCAGATGGCCAGTGGGCTTGATTTCCCTCTGCCTTTCTTCTTGGATTAACAAAGAAAAGGCTTGGGCAATTGAGGGAAGAGGATTCATCATCAATATGCTCTCTCGAACAACAGTATATGTCTCATTTAATCCCATAAGGAATTGTATGAGCCTCCTATCCTGCTCTGCTTTATGCATACTTTCCTTAGCCCCACACGAATAATTGCAGGTACAATGAGATTTAGCAATCAAAGTATTGAGCTCCTCCCATAGTTTCTTCATTTTCGTATAGTAACTGGTAATATCAAGTGATCCTTGAGACAGATCATTGATCTCCTTCTGAATTTGATACAACTTTGTTCCATTTGTTTGATCATATTGATCCTCAAGTTCTCTCCACAATTCAAATGCATCAGCTACGTATTCAACACTATCTGCAATCTCTTTAGTCAAAGAGTTTAAGATCCATGATGTAACCATGTCATCACACCTCTCCCATAAGCGAAAGTTTGGAGAATCTAGATGTGGTCTTTTACAGTCTCCATTAATAAATCCCAATTTATTTTTCACAGACAATGCTCGCATCACACTTCTTCTCCATGATCGATAACCAAAGCCATCAAAAGGAGCAGGAACTAAGGTTGCCCCAGGATTATCATATGGATGCATGTATAGAGGATTACTAATGTTAATGCCTGATTGACTCAGAGGCTCATTCACAGTTGGTACTGTTGGATTATCGTTCTCATCGGACCTCATACTTGTGAATTACAGAGAAATCTAAGAAACTTTGATATCTAAAAATATAAGATGAATGAAATTCAACAATGATTCTCAGAGAATTGTGAATCAGAAGTAAAACAAAACCTGTTCTTAAGCTATATCTCGAAATTCATGGAGAAATGAATTTGTATATGTGCGATTAGGTTTGAACGATCATCAACAAAGGGAGAACCAACAGATCTCGTGAATTGAATCCAAAATCGAAGCTCCCGCTCTGATACCATGTCAGAAATCAGTCAATGGAACAGTAATTAAGCTTCTACCATTATCTGAAGCTGTGCTTCAATGGAAATGAAGCTGTGGATTGTCCACCATGAGAACCCAGAGAGAGAGAAGAGAGAGGACGAGAGAAGGTTCCAGAATTGTGTAATTAGACTGATTAAATTGAAAGAGTGAGTGGAGTCTCCACTATATACAAAGCTAAGACTAAGCACTAAGCTAAGACAATTAACTAACAACTGCTAAGCTAATTGTACAGCTGTCATAATAATCGACTAACTAAGGGACTAATCAACTAACTAAGAGAATAATTATAGTTCTTAACAAATTTGGAGCAAAAAGAATGCATCAATTTTGTAGAGAGAATACAGAAACAGAGGAAGAGAGAGAAACAGAATGAAAAGTCTGAAGAATAAAAAGAGCCATAAGTCCAAAGAAAGAACTGAAAATCAGTGTCATGGGAGTGGAATTTAAATACGTGTCAGAAGAATTAAAAAATCAAAGTACGAAAATATCAATGACAAACATCTAAATTTCTAAATTGTCCTGTTCGCCCTTGTTCGTACACATTTTAACTCCCATTTCTATATAATAGTAAAATAAAATTAATGAAAGAATTTCTCTACCTATTATTTTAGAACTAGTAAAATTGTCTGCGCTTCGTGCGGTCGTAAAAATAAAACTAAAATATATTTTTTTCCTAATATCTGATTATTAAAAGTATTTAGTCCTTAAGTCCAAATATGGAGTAGATTTCATGTTTAATCCATCTTATTACTCACACTTATTTTAACTTATTTACTTAACTCGTCATATGAGGATATTTGCTTTTTCCAAATCTTCCTTTTCTTTTTCTTCTTCTGGGATTAAAGTAACTAAAGAGGCCCCAAAGCATAACAATAGTATGCACGTAAAGGAATTCAAAGCATTAATTAGCTGATACACTTCAGGGAATTGATTGGCTGTATGCTTTATTCAATTTTTAATGCCAAAAAACGTTTTGTCTTGTATGTTAAAAAATGCGATATATATCATGAGATAAAGAAATCTTAGATGCAAAAACTCAAATACCTTTTCTATCGGCACCCAAATGTATATGTATTCCAGGAATCACCATAATTTGGAGGATCAACACAAGAAGTCTTTGATGACTTCCAAGTTATCAATCAACATTTAATTTATTCACAAATATATTTGTGAATA